AACAGCAACAGGCAACAGCAGCAGCAGCAGCAGCAGCAACAGCAACAGCTGTTGCAGCGACAGCAACGGCAACAACAATTACATTAACGTGTTTCCTGTCTGTGCTAGGCAACACCGTCCACCTTGTTGCTAAAAGCAGACACAACACGAAGCCCGAAAGCTTGAATCCTTGAGAGGAAGCTGAACCCTGAAATCTGAGGAAATGACTGCCGGAAGCTTAGGGAGCTTTGCCAAGTTGCCGCTGCTGCTGAATGCAGTCCTCAAGCACCACGATCCTGACTCGACTTTGAGTGGTTACGTTCGGACTTCCGGATTTGTAAGGGGGATTCGCGAGGGGATATCATGGGCTGTAGTCTTCACGAATTCTGTTTAGTAAGTCGGAGCTTCTGCAGCTGTGATATGAAAGAGCCTTGTTCTTGCTGTGTCGGCCCGTGCTTTGATGTGAGATGTTTTCTCGTGTCCGGCGCTGCGCAGTTGATCAAGGGAACTAACCCATCAGAATCTGGTTTCATGCGAAAAGTAGCTGCCACGGCGGGACGATGCTGAGAACCAACTTTGACCCGCAATCCAAGTTTCATGCCATCCAACACCTGAAACATCAAATCTGCCCAGGTGCTCTATGAAGGCAACAATTCGTCACTAACCAACAGCAAGGCCACTACATCAGATGGATGGGTATTCGTTGTTCGTGATTTGTTGCGTATTCGGGTGTAGTAGTCAGCTGGTCCAAGGCCCAGAGAGTCACTGAGAATCGGTCGTCGGTGAGTCGGTGGGCGCGCCCAATTGGAGTTCTAGAGCCCCTTGTGGATGATGAAGTCGTTTGGGATGCAAGCCCTTCCAATCCCCATGCTCCAGGAACCAAAACCTGGACCCATTTTGGCCCTGCCGGCAGGTTCGTAGATCCTCGGTCATCTCTTGCAAGAGACTCTTCGGCTGCAATTATGGTGCCCCTTCCCGGGACCCCGACATCATCTTGGAGAGCCACCATATTCAAAACCTGAACCTGGACAGCTCCAAAATCCCTCAAGGATGAAAATTGCTTTGGATTTCGAAGTATCGCCCTAAGCACCTGAAGTCGTCTGCTCTGAACGTGGGCTTCCCACCCTCAAGGCGATGAGACCGATGCAGGGGCCTCGGAGCACATGGCCACAAACCGGGCTCTGAAAGATGTTTTGAGGCTGTCACAGGCTATGCAGAGCTACGGCCATGATCGGGTTTCGGACTCGGTCTTCAACCTAGTATAGGATGGTACTACAGCGAGGAGGCTAGCAGCGTGAGTTGTTCAAGAAACGTGGTGATACGAGTACGAACGCTGTAAAATCCAGTCTGGTTTACCATTCGCTGCTCCCAGCGTTTGCTTCGGAGTCCTGCTTGAGAGTCGATCGACTTTGGGATGTTTGGTGGTGGCATCGCTCAAAAACAACAGGGGCGGACTTTGCAAGGTGCATCGGTATTTCGGAGACCTATTTCTCCTTCAGATTGCACTATGTCCAGCGACTCTCACCGCGAACGGCTTGTGTTACCGAACTCCGTTCCCCAAGAGACCCGAGCGGCCGAGAGGTGGTTTCAGCAGACTTGGATGTTGCAGTGAAGCCGGGAACTTAGAGTTTCAGCATTTAGACTCTGCAAGGTGGTTGCAACGCTGCAGAGGCTGAGTCCGTCGGCACGAGAACGAAAGAAACACATTGACACAGACTGGAATGTGGGGACCACGTTGGTTCGAGACACCTCATAAACGCCTTATACCGAAGTGATGTGAGGTGGCGCATTAGGGCTTGGGATCTAGGCCATGAGCGCGGGACAGTACCACGAGTCAGCTCGTGGTGCTAGGGTGCTTTGAGATCGGTTGAGAGCGGTCTGAGGGTTTAAGACGCTGGGATGAGAGATCTGAGAGGCTGGAGCTCAGGTCCGTCTCACTAGCAGACGATGCTTCAAACCTGGCCGGGGGCCCGAAGCGCTCTCGGCTCCTTTAGAAAGGCACCTAAACTCCCAACAGAGTGCTTTTTCTTCACAGTTTGGAGGGGAGAACACAAAGCACTTTCCATGCTGCCGTGCTCAGCTACTTCACGCAGAGGTCTCGGAATCAGGAATTCCGGAATTTCAGGGTAACTCTCTGTTTGCCAACTCAAGCTCAACCCGATTCGCCCGATGAGCCTATCACCAGCGGCAGAAGCATCTGCCTGGAACCTTTCCGGATGACCAAACCAGCCCTTCCTCAACAGACTTGTTCCGCTTGGTCTCCACTTCGCTAATCATTAATGAATGAGGCTTCTGGTGTAGGGTTCGAAAGCGTAGGTATCGAGCAAACTCCGGATTCCGGATCCCCAGACCTGGCAAGACCAAGCCTTGCGTATCTATCCACTCATGCATCTATCTATCCGTCCATCTATCTATCTGCCTGTATGTGTTTATGCATGCATGCATGCTAATGTAGTTTATGCGTTCATGTATGTAGTTGTTCAAATGTGTGTAACTGTCTGTTTTTGTACAAACGTATTTATATGTGTATATCTGTATATATATATATATGTTTGTACATACATACATACATACATACGTACTTACTTACCTACACTTTTGCATATGTTTATGCATTTCAATATTCAAACCTTTATAGCCTAATTTATAGCTTGTTATATGTACACGTGTACATTGTAAATAAATGTGTATTTGTTTGTTTATCTATCTGTGAGAATTTCAGACGACCTGGGGACCGTCGATGCGGAGCCTGAGTGGTAGGATCATGTCCATTGACCCCTAAGTCGCAGAAGCCCTGTGCCCATGCCTATGACTTGCGCAAGAGTGCACATGAAGCTTGCCCTGTACCTATTATTCTCGACCATGAAACTGAGGCTCGGGGAAGCTCCAAGAATAGCCTACGTTTCTTAAGCAAAGCTACTCAAACCTTCGCCAGAACCACTCCTGAGTCTGCAAAAGACTCCAAGCCCTGCAACTGCGTTGAGGGCTCGTTTCTCGAGGCCATGCTTCGGCGCGAGTGCGAGATCTTGCGCCGACTCGGACTCCCAATGGGGGGTGGGTGGAGAGGGGGTTAGGATTGGAAGGCCTTGAGCAGTACGCCCTGGGGCTTTCAAACTGGGGGGTTTGAGAGGATGTGGGTGCCAGTTGAGGGGTGAACTTCTGCTCTTGGCTTGACAGAGAGGCACGGCACGGGCAGCAGACCGTGGCCTGCGCAGGACACCATCCGCACATCATGTCTGCGCTGGCGTACGAAGAGTGCGAATGTGCGATGGGCTCGGAACACCAGCGGCTCCGCACAGAAGGCTTCAGGTGTTTCGGATTAGAGTTGGTTCAGCATGTTCGGGTTTTAGGGGTTTGGGCGCGAAGTCGCCTTTAGTTTGCCGACTTTTGGTTTGTGATGTCAGGGTTTCGGGATTTGGTTCAAGGTTCAAGGGGGAGGGGCAGTCATGGGCCCCTTCTACTACCCCTTCTGACGGCGCTTTGGCACGGTGTCGCAGGGACAATAGAGCCTTTGGGTATTTGCTTTCGATCAACATTCTCCAAGAACAGTGGTCCCGTCTGGGGGGCAGCACCAGTGCAGCATGTCCGTCAGAGCGACTCTTCATGTTATCGAGTTTCTTCTGTTGAAAGAGCACTTGGCACCGAGAACCCAGCAAAGCTGAAGGGCTCCCTCGGCTTCAGGAGATGATTCTGGTGACTCGGTTGGCCAGCGAGGGCGACCTGTCCCGTCTCGCGCCAATTGGGCAGTGGGCTCGGGTGACTGAGCTCTGCTGCACCCACGTGCATCCCGGACCCTCAAGTGTTCTGTCTGACTTTGCACAGGTCTTGTCTGGAAGAACTGCAGGCCGCATGCTCAGAAGCACGTGATTAGGCCTTATTTCGGGCCCTCTGCCAAAGGTTCAGCGGCCCAAACTGCTCAGTATGGCAAGATTCAGAAGGCTCCCGGCAACAAGCCATAGATTCAACAGATAGCGCCGCACGCTCAAACGGGTTGGACGAGTTTGTCAAAGGTTCACACCAAGTTTGAATGTCCCCAGCCATCAAACTCCCAAGCGTAACTTGCATCAGAATGCCGAGCGATACAATGCAACAACGGCTCGAGAAATTCGAGTCGGGGCCAAGTGCGCAGGCTCGACAAGATCGCGTGCGGACAACCAAAGAGTCAGTCACTCGTATGTGTCTCTCTGTGTATGTATACATATATATATATATACATCTATATCTATATCTATAACTATAACTACATCTACATCTACATCTATATCTATATCTATATCTATACATGTACATGTATATGTATATGAATATATGTATATGTACATGTATATGTATATGAATATATGTATATGTGCCTGTGTGTGTGTGTGTCTGTCTGTCCCTAAATGCGTGTGAGTGTATAGGTGTGCATTTACATATACCTCTACATATACATATACATATACATGTACATGTACATATACATATACATGCATATGTCATTGTATACACACACGCATACATACATACATACATACATACATACATACATACATACATACATACATACATGCGAACCCTGTGCTCACATGCATGCACACAAACACACTTTTTTGTTTGCTTCTCTCTCTCTCTCTCTCTCTGCCGATTCATCAGGTGCGAAGGCTTACGCAACAGTTGCTGTCCGCCTTCCAGTATTTAGAGGCGAGGCAGTCGCATCAGCTTGCCCTCTGCTTTGAGACTCAGGGGCTTCAGTTGATGCAGCACTCTCGGCTTGGGTTTCAGTTGGCGGTAGTCACGGGATGTGGCGAGCATACCAGCCAGCCCACACTCTGCATGTGGAATGCTTGGCGGGTGTGCGGTTCGACGTGCTACTCGAAGCGGCACGGAAAGTTGAGGAGTACCTTCACAGACATGCGTCCTATGCATGAGGCGTTAGTACGTTCATGACGTGTTGGTTCAAGATGACAATGTCGTTTCTCGGCTTGTAAGGTACCAAGATGGCAGCAAAGGTTCCCCTAGCACCAGTGAAAGTGCTAGTGCTGAAACCTCACCTCAGCCATGCCTAAACTAAGAGCATCACAAGTTTCCCTCATGTAGTTGTTCCATGTTGTTCCCACGTTTTTTTTGGCCCTCTGCTTCAGGAGAAGCGAATCGCCGGGGCCTAAATTTTGGCCATCCTTGCTTCTGACCCCGGTAGTCTTCACGGCCTCAGTTAAGAAAGACCCTGAACCCCAAGCATCTGAACAGGGGGTCTCTGAGGTAGGCGTGACATCCTATGCTAAGTTTATGTGGACAGCCACTGATGAGACCCTGATAATCGGAAGGAAGTTGGATGCTTCACCATCGCCATGAGGTGCATGGCGATGTAAAGCCGCAGAATGTGCTGATCAGCTTGGGCCAGGACAGCTGCATGGGTCGCTAGGCGTTGGGTCCAAGCTAGCCTTTGCCGGAGTTTGGGCTTCAGGTGGGAGGGGGGAGGGGAGGGGAGGGGGGTGGAATGAAACTGTAGTTTTTCCACAGCTTCGGGATTACATTGGACCCAGACCTCCAGAGCCTTGAGGGAATTGGCCCCATAGAGGCCACAGAAACATGGTCTGGGGCTGAGCATCCGGGAGTTCGTGCTTAGGATATCTTGGCCAGCAGCCCACTTGTAGGACGAGGTTTTAGCTTCAAGGTTTAGTGTGTGTTCGGACTGCAGGGCTGGGAGGCGCATGTGGTGCAGATATGGCGCAGAGAAGCCCTACCACCAGCGTGCAGGGCGCGTTCTTGGCGCAGCTGACGGACTTCGGACTCTCACGGGAGATTCCAGAGGGAGAGCCTTTCGTCTTGCCGCGGCCCGAATTTGTCTTTGCATAGTGCGATGGCAGCTGCACCACTACGATTTGGCATCAGTGGTCCTCTGCTCTTTGGCATTTGGGTCTTGCATGCTCGGACATGGGACTTGGACTCAGCCTTGGGGCTCGTAGACTTGAAGCAAAATGGCCTTGTGAAGATGGCAAGTCCTGTTGGATGCCAAAGAGCTCAGTATGATGTTATGGAGCTCTAGGAGTCTTTAACCGATCGTATCGTCAGCTTCCTGTCAAGTTGATTCAATGTGTCTGTCATCGCCTGTTGTCTCAACCCGTGGTTGTTTCTGTCTCCTGCAGTGTTGACACGTTCTATCGGATGTTCCTTTTTTGGCTTTGACATTTTGCTGTCGTGTTGTATCATCTATCCCTGATCCAGCATTCCGAGACTCGCGACGTGGGCCAGGAACGACAAGAGCCCGAAGCAAACCGAACAAATGCCGCCGTCAGCCCTGCACCATCCGTCAACCCCCCCCGCCTGAACCCACACCTCTATTCCCAAGGCTGGAGCACGTGCAGGGCTCCTATGGCTTCGTGCCATCTGAGGTTCGGTGTAGTGGGGACCAAGGATGCTCCATGAAATTGCGATTGTTTGCTGGGTTGTAGCATGTGGAAGGAGTGGTCGGGCCTGGGGTAGTCCTTGAGCTTGATGGTTACTTGGAGGTGATGTCTCCAGAGCCTGTGGCAAATTTGCCAATGGATGTTGGTATGTCTCTTCGTTGCACTTCAATGGTCTTGGGCACTCAGCATTGGGGAGCGCAAATTCCACAGAGCCGTTTCCCAGGACCCACCAGCCCGCCCACGCCCCGCCCCCCGCCGTGCCAGCCCGTCCCTCCCCTTCCCTCCCTCCCTCCCCGTCCCTCTCCCCCTCTAACCCTCCCCCCCTCCCTCCCTCCCTCCCTTCCGTCTTTCTCCCCCCCTCCTCTGTTTCTGCCTCCCTCCCTCCCTCCCGCTCTCTCTCTC